TCGTAATTTTGCGACCGTAGACATGGATACGTCATCCGAGACACTACTCTTGGATCAGATGGCTATGGCTTTGCAAAAGGGATCACCTCTGCGCCCATCAATGAATAAAATGTAATTTATATATTAATATAATTATGTAAAATATATATTATTTATAAATGAATGATTAACTTTTGTATTTGATTATTATTTGTTACCATAAAGAATCCAACATTTTATAGAGAATGGTTTGTATCAAATATGGACGACTCAATTGATGGACACAATACCGTCTAAAGCCCACGATTCAGATACTTCTGCCATCAAAAGTCTTAAACTAAAAGACATTCAAACTATTTTCTATATTTGTTTGTTTGGACTTTTCATCTCTATTTGTGGTTTTTTGTGCGAAATATTCATTTACTTTAAAACTAATATTAGATTTCATTCCCAATTAAGAAATTGCAAATCAAATGAATTGAAGAAAAGGAATGGATTTATTTATATTTAACGACAATCAAAATACATATAAATATTTAATTAGTAATTATATTGTCATCGGATTCTAACTCACGAATAATTAGTTCAAACAATTGAAAACTTATTTAAATTATGGTTAATAAAGAAATCGTTTCATTAAAAAATAATAGTTTACTCAATGTTTCAAAAAACAGAGTAAAATTCAATACTTTTATTAAATGTTTTTGAGATAAAAGTGTGATCCATGTGTTAGACATCACTTTAATCATCATTTTAGAAACTTTGGATCCAATTATGAGGCCTTAAACTAATCATATGGTAATGAGTGTTGGAATTCGTAAGTGTTTTATACATTGTTTGGTATAAAACCTAAATTACAAGTAATTTTTAAGTCAGTTTTGATTCATATCGAAGCATAACTTCAAATCATTGATAAGAAATACAGTATTCATTACTAAATATTTAAATCCAAATACAGGTATAACTTTTTGCTAAAAGCTTTTCTAATAAATAGTGAAATAATGTTTGAATCGTTTTTTCTAATAATTTATTTAATATTGAACTAAACGTCAAACCATTATTTAAGTGCAATCTATTAGACAATTAGGTGTTTGAAAAAGTGCTTTAATTATACGATTAGTGTTTCATAAAAACCTTTACAACATTTTTAGTTAAAGTAATACTCGTCTCAATCGTCACACCTCTTAATCGCATTGTTTTCATCAATTTTTGGATCAAAGTTAAGAAGAAATTATCCAACGATTGGACACAATATTCAAACTTTTAATCACTAAAAAGTAAGTCAATATTTTCTACGCATTTATTTATTTAAATAATCGTTAAATAATTTTTGTCAAAACCAGTGAACGATTCCCTAAAGTGTAAGGCTTTGGCCGATATGTTGGGCGAAGTGGACATCAATGGCAACGCATCTCAAGGAGGCGATGGCCTCGCGGATCAAATGGAACAGCAAATGAAGAAATTGGCCGAAGAAGAGATCACCGAACGGAACAAAGGATGGGAAGGATTGCAAACCAAAGCGGATCAACAGAAGAGTCTGGCCTTTACTCACGCCCTGTCCTCCGGTCTCATCGTATGTCCGTATTGTCGGATCAGTTATCTTCGCTCAACCGGTGGTCATCTGTTGTGCGACTCATGCGAACTCAGATTTGAAAGTATGGTTTCCATACCAGAGATGATCCAAACCATGAAACAGATTATAAGCAACCATTCGATGAGTGGATGTTTGGATCAATTTCCACAAATTGGTTGTTGGGATCCATATATTGTCGTCTATTGTGACACTTGTCCTCTTCGCCAAATAGTTCACTAAATCTCTTCATTTCTCTTCTTTTGCTTTTTTGTGTTTAATATTTTTTGTAATATTTTTTGTTTTCACTTTAATTCAAATAATGATTTTTCAATGATTTTTGTTTTTGATTAATATTAAGTTAATTTAGTTTATAATTAATCACTTGAGTTACAGAAATGTTAAGTTTATTACAAATGTATATTTGATTGTAATGTAATTGTTGTAAATTTTGATCAATAATAATAGTAACGATAATAATTTAATGAAAATATAAAAAGTTGATTATAATTAGAAATAAGTTATTTAACAATTAAACTATAAATAAATAAATGAATTGAATATTGTATTGAATACTGTATTGAATTTGAATGAAAACTGTAACGAAAGCTAAGGATTGCATCGCTTTATACAATAAAACTTTAATTTGTCAGTCAATCAAACCGTCCAATGATTATCTCATTTGTGGCACACTTTATGACCAGACAATCGGCAAACAAACGACATAATGATTGACATATTAAAGTCTTTGGTGGAACCGTTGCGCCGCTCGGGCCGTGTGTACACTTCTTCGGTGGTGTTCCGTCTGTACACCCACTTGACTGCTATCATATTAATGGCATTTTGTGTCTTAAACACAACGCATACACTCTTTGGTCAACCCATTCATTGTGAGGTCACTGAAGGCCGTTTCGCTGACCAATCAATGATTGATTCGTATTGTTATACGAGTGGTATCTTCGCGGCCAACAGACATCCGGCGGACGCCAAGCCGTATGGCATTCATCCGGCTTTGGGACCAAAAACACCGGGAATTGAGTACCAGAAGAGATACTACCTCTGGATATGGTTTGTGCTGTTATTGCAATCAATTTGTTTTTATTTCCCGCATTGGCTGTGGAAGTGCTGCGAAGGACAGCAAATATCTTCACTCGTGGCTGATATGAGTTTATTTACCACCGATGACGACAAAAGGTCTGCCAAAATACGCAAAATTGTTGATTACATGTACCGAACGACCGGTTCTCACAACTCGTATGCCATGAAGTACTTCGGCTGTGAAGTGATCGCCTTTTTCAATGTCTTCATACAAATGGCTGCAAACCATCTCTTTCTTGATTACTCTTTCATTACTTACGGCTTGGATTGGATTCGACTTCAGCTAAAAGATCCCGATTTGAAAATTGATACCATAAGTGATGTAATCGATTATAACTAATGATATCTTTTAGTTGTTATGAAATTAATGTAAATTAATTACTAATCTGTTTGACAGGTGTTTCCCATATTATGTAAATGCGATTTCACTCGTTTCGGCGCTTCTGGTGGTCAGGAAACCATCGATGGCTTATGTGTGCTATCAGTGAATATATTAAATCAGATGATTTACCTTTTCATATGGTTTTGGTTTTGCTTTCTGGCGATTGTCTCGAGTTTTACTCTTATATTCAGACTTATTCTCATTAGTTGTCCACAAATACGTTATTATGTGTTTCGGTATAAATTGGATTCAATGAGTGAACCCAATGGACACAAATCATACAAACCACTCATTTCTGGCTTACAATTAGACGATTGGTTTATAATGTATTTGGTATAAGAATTTTATTTGATTTGAAGTTTTTTTTAAATTAATTGAATGTTATTTTACTTCTAAAAAGTTGTGCCAAAACGTTGAGCCAATAGTTTTCAAAGAAATCATTGATTTATTGATTGAAAGACAAGGAATGAACCGAAACTTAACCCAAGATTTGCGTACAAATGATGAAAGTATAGTTAATAACGTTAATAATGGTATTCGTAATGGTATTGGCGTTCGTGACACTAATGACATTGATATCTAAATCCATTAATCGATCCGTCATTACATTTATTACAACTGAAGTGCAATTAATTAATCAAAGTGTCTATCATTTGAAAATTATATACCGATAATAATCTATTCATTATTCTTACTGTGAATGTGAATCACTTTTTCCTTTGCTCTATAACTCAATGTAAAACTAATTAATAATTATATTAATTTGTATTTCAGTTGCTTTTCAAATAAAATCAAAATTAATCACTCAATGAGTGTTCAATTAATATTAAAGTTAACAAAAAAGTTGTTAAAAGTTTGAATCATAAACTTTTTAAACGGGTCTTCAATTTGTTTGAAACGAAAAAAGTGACAAAATTTATGGATTGATTACTACATCACATGTTTTGCAAAATACAAACTTTTTTATGCATTCAATTTGTTTTCATCTTTTAATTTGAATTAAATTTGACACAAATTTAGTGAATAATCTGTGAATTAAACTGAATGTGAGTTTCATTACAAGTATTGATTAAGCGATGAATGAATTGAGGGATGAATTGATTGATAGGAAACGTTTAGCCGACGACCAGAAGGAGATTGTAATTGGGATCTGTTTTCAGTGATTCTTATGTTTTAACCACTTTTTGGATTTGCTTTTCAGGGAAACAAACACTTCAAGAGCGGACACATCGAGGAGTCCATCAAATGCTATACAAATGCCATTCAATTGTATGAATCAAATCCCGTCTTTTACTGCAACCGATCCATGGCTTACCTCAAGAAAGGACTGTAAGATAGGAGTCAAATTTAATGATAATTCATTTGTTTAAACATCTGATCCCATGTTTAACAGTCCGCTCGAAGCCCACAGAGACTGTGATTTAGCCCTAAATATAGACAACACTTGTATTAAAGCTCTCTACAGACGCGGCTTATCTCGAAGACAACTGTTCCGCTATTCTCTGGCTTTGGATGACTTCCGACGAGTCCTTACACTCGATGCCGACAATAGCGATGCGAAGCGTGAATTGGCCGCAACTCAACGTCTGATCCAATCGAAAGCCATTGTAGAAATTAAAGCCATTGATAAACCACTAGAATTGCAATCAAAGACACCGTTAACTAAAGTTGCCATTTGTTGTGATAAGAAGTCGTGTGAATTTGTGGTTCAATTGCCCGAAAGTGTTCCCAAAACTTATTATCAATTTGAGTGCGATTGGCGTCAACTCATTGGTCCCAATAGTCAACAATTAAGACTCAATTATTTGCAAATGATTGGGCGCGAAGACATTCAACGAGTCTTGACGTCGACATTAGAGCCGCAAATGATATCTGATTTATTGAATACAATTTGCCACTCAAATGATTGCCAATTAATTTACAATGTTTTGCATCAAATGTCCGAAACGCCCAGATTTGACACAATTGTCTTCTTATTGTCAAAATCAGATCATTTAAGTAAAACACTTTTGTTTCTCGTTTTTATTACATTTTAAATATTTTATTAATTCTTTAATTTTTTTTAATTATAGATTTGAATAAAATTATTGAAAACCTGAAACTCAATCATTTCAATGAGAATCTGATTTCGGAAATTAAGAATAGTTTCTTGTGATTCACTTTGGATTTGAATTTCACTGCAATCAACGCTTCAATTATAGCAATACTTATCATTTATTTCCATATGTTTCACATATTTTGTGGCCAAATATGTGTTAATTTAATTATAAATAGGCATTAATTTTAATTTAGATTTTTAATAATAAACAACTTTTGCTAAAATACTTTTATAATAAAAAATTATTTATAATTATTTAAGGAATTTTTAAAACTCAAAACATAATCACTAAAATCTGTTAATACAGTCATTGATCGATATTATGAGCAAAACTATTACATGACATTTGGTTCATACAGTTGTATAGTTTACTGTTTTGGTAATTTTATAAAGGTTATCTTCACTATTTTAAAATATACTTGGTTGTATCAATATTTATGTTATTGGTATTTGTACTTTATGATTAATGATAAAATACCGGTACATAAGTGTTCATCAAGTGTTGTATGATTCAAAAGTTAATACCGTTACATAAAATATTAGTATTTCATTACAAATGGCAATGAATGTTTCAATCTATTTTCTTTTCACATGTAATTCTAATTAAAAGTGATATTTATTAAACTGTTTATAAAAAAGTGGTATTAAACAAAATGGTAATATTTGTTATTCATTGGTTTTACTGTTGGCACAATATTTAGAGTTGTATTGACTGTAAGTTTTATACAACAAACAAACCTGAAATGTAACAAATATCGTGAAGAGTTAGTCGAAATGGTATTGAAAACAACATTTATAATAAAAAACACATTTTATTCAATCAAATAAAAGAGTAATAAATATATATAATATAATAATTGATTTAATTAGACGATAATATAAGAACAATATTTATATATTTTTA